TATAAGCATAGAAGAAATGAGAAATGATGAAAGAATCAATACAGAGTACACTATGAAGACAGAATTGGCAGCTAATGAAGCTAGATAATATACAAAAGGTTGATTACAGTTGCCATTGATTAAGCAGTGCCCATGTGACAGGCACTGTGGTAAGAGCTTTAAATACATTATTATGGTGGTAAAACAAGTTTCAAAAATGGTCACACCAATAGCACTTCACATCCCATGTGAACCTTTGCAATGTGACCTTGGGACTCTCCCAGCAAGAGTTGGTGTTTGAAAGGTCGACTTTTTGATATTTTAGAAATCGCCACACTGTTTTCCACAGAAAACATGATGGAAGATTATGCAGCCATCAAGAAAAACAAAATTATGGACTTCGCAGCAGCCTGGATAAATTTAGAGTCTATAATACTCAGTGCTTACCACAGAAACAAAGATCTAAGTACTACATGTACTCACTCGTAAGTGGACCCTGAACATTTATCATAATACTATAAGAAAGAGATTGGCAGCAGTGGTACACTGCCAGGGGAGGGAGGGTGGTAACATAATATCAATAAGGGTACCCAAACTTTACCTGTATGATTTCCACTTATGTACTTAACCCTGAATTCTACCCCACACCTTTAAAGAAAAAATAATAATTAAATTTTTTTAAAAGCATTGATATCCCCCCATTCTAATCTAGATTAAGCCTGTTTTGACCAATAAAATAGTAGAAACACTATTAAGCAAATTCTAAGCCTGAGTCTCAAGGGGTCTACAGTCTTGTTCTTTGCTTCTTAAAGCACTCCTTCTTGGAACCCAGGTCCCATGCTGGGAGGAGTCCAAAGCAGCCACATCAGATAGCCGTGTGGAGAAAAATGGAGGCCCCTGAATGCCAGTTATTAGTCCCAACTTCTAGTCATGTGAATGAGGCCATTTTGAACCTTCTAGCCATTCTAGCACTACCACAGATGAGAAAAATCAACCTGTTTAGCCTACAGAATCATGAAAAATAATTACTGGTTGTTCTAAGCCACTAAGTTTTGGAGAAGTTTGTTATGGAGCAGTAGACAATCAAAGCAATCTTAATTAATTTTTACAACAATCTCAGGGAGGTATGCATTTACCCTTACTTTACAGATAAGCAAACTAGAAATCAAAGAGGTTAAGCAACTTATTCATTGTCACACAGTTCCTATGTGGCAGAGTTGGATGAATGTCAGCTATGAAACATGAGTGACTGAGTGATTTGTAAGCCCATTAGTCAAAATAGATCTGTAATGAGAAGGAGTTAATTTAGAGAAAAATCAGGCAACTTGGTGCTGTTATTCTTTTTTTTTTTCACCTTTAAATTTTTTATTTTAAAATTGTGGGGTACAATTCAGGGTTAGGTATACAAATATTCATTGTGCAGGGACCCTCGTTGATGAGGTGTGACCCCCCTTCGCCAGGCAGTTTCCCACTGCTGCCAATCCCCCCTCCCTGCCCCCACCATGCCCCCACAGTTTCCTGCTACTGTCAATCCTTTTCTTATAGTATTACAATAGTTGTTCAAGGGCCACTTATGAGTGAGAACATGTGATATTCAGTTCCTTGTTTCTGTGAAAGATCACTCAGTATTATAGACTTTAAGTCCATCCAGGGTGCTGCAAAGTTCATGATTTTGTTCTTCTTTATGGCTGCTTAATATTCCATTGTGTATATGTATCACATTTTTTTTATCCAGTCCTCTTTTGATGGGCAGCATGGTTGGTTCCATGTTCTTGCTATTATGAACAATGACTGCTGCTATTCTTTATGACAGCAGAATTGTAAACAAAGTAAGGTAAACTGATAAAGTCTATGATGGGATTATCCAATAAATGCAGTACAGACATTTTCTCAGGAAACAGAGTCAGCCTGCCAACATCCTGTTTTACTGCAGTGAGTGCTTTACACTTCCTTAAAGAGGGCAATTTGATGAAGAAACGTTCATAAACGGAAGACAAAAAAGAGCATTTTGCAATAGATTAACTCTTCTGGTCCCCCACTCTTAAGCCATTAGGAGTAAGCCTTTCTACCCCTTCTTCCCTCCTTCCCTCCCTCCCTTCCATAAATTTAGAAAGAGCATGAACTAAGAACCTGTCTCTGTCCTAGGTTCTGATGCTATAGTGATGAGTGACTATCATTCCTATTGCCATGGCACACATTGAACAAGCAGGGATGATGGGACTGGATGGGGGCATAATCACAGTCAGAGAGACAAACACTAGACAGAACATAATGAGAGCTGTGGGGGCACTGAGAGAGTTACCCTCCATGATCTCAGCAAGAGATAGGAAGAGGGCTAGTTAGGGAAGTTTTCCCCCAAAAAAGGTTATGATTGAGTCCTTCAGGATGAGGAAGAGTTCATCTACTGAAGGCAAAAGGAACAAAGATCAAGTACAAAGTCCTCAACTAGAGACAAGAGATGACTCTTTAACAATAATTTCTGTTGGTACTCATTTTTGGAGTGTCACATTGTGTTGACATCAGGGTAGGGGTAAGGAGAGAGAAATGTTAAGCCTGACAAAAGGAAGAAGAGTTCAGAACATAGGAGATTTTCCATGCTGTGCTCACTTGCCTTTCTCTTAAATACAAATTGAATATGTTGAATGAGGGGTTTTATAGGGACCAAGCCACTGACAGGATACAAGTTAGAAGATGCAATAAAAGAAATTCAGAAGTTACCAATGATAAGAAAGGCTAATGAGAAAAGTGTTGGTGAAAAAAAAGGAGGGTGGTTACTGGATTCAATAAATTAAAAAGCGAGAGAATAAGGGGATTTGATGAATAAGCAGATATGATTTGCTCCCCTAGTGGAAAGTTAACTACAAACCAATAATCTATAATACATTAATATAATTCACTCAGTTCTATTCAGAACTAGTTTTTAGAATGCTATAACTGAATAAAATAAACATAACAATTTCTAAAATACATAAAGCATTTATATTACAGGCACAATGCTATAAACTTTATGTGAATTGTCTCATTCAATCTTCCCAACAACCTTGTAAGGTAGAACAGTTCCTATCTCACTTTACAGGTAAAAAAGTGGAGCAATATCAACCATAACAATCATATTTTGGTTGATTCAACAAGCATTACTTATTTGTTCATTATGTTAGGGACTACAAAAGATAAGGAAGAAAAATACATGATGTTTGTTCTGAAGATGCTCATAAGGGGGACTATTTAATGTTGGAAATTGGTACTTTTACCACGGTGTTCTAGATGCCATCATGGCAGGCTGGTCCAAGAATTGCAGGGGAATCCTAGAAATGACCATCTTTAACAGGAGAGAAAAATTTTTAGCTCAAATGTACCATAAACTCCAATTGCAAAATGGAAGCTAACAGCTTTGCTACTGTCTCTTCTTGGATTGATTGTGCCACTAATAAATTTCCCTCTTTGAGAGAAAATGGGGTGCAGATGGGTAGCTTGAGTTAAGGTAGCATAAATTAGTGTGGCATTGGAGGTGGGAGGTGGAGACTTCAGGCTTAAATCCTCCCTTTGTTCCACCTGTCAAACCATTTCTTTGGTGCAAATCTGGATCAGTCCAGAGGTGGGAGCCATTTGGGCTAGTGGCAGTCCTGGTGAGTGACTTGTCTAATGTCTAGTAAAGGGGTTACCATGGTTATGTTATCATTGGCTCTTTTCAAGAAATAGTTCAAGATAGGGTTGAAAGTGGTTATTTTCTCCTCAAATTAAATCTTCTCAAGCAAGCTTTCAGTCATCTAAACCCTGGCCCTGGCTTCGCATATGACTAGAAAGGTAAGATCAAGGTAATATGATGAAGCATGAGTCTCTTGGAAACTGTAGACAACATTTCATGGTTTTATAAATGCCTTTAACTTGTGGTCTATGAACTATGCTGAGATCCGTAGGTGAGACAGACACTTTCAAAATATAGAATTCACTATTTTTCTCAATCTCACTTCTATCTGCAGACCACTCCTGCTGATAAATCTACTGTAAGTTTTCATAATCAATGTGTTTTAAATTTTCTACTTGAATAATAACAATTTATAAGCACTAATAAAATTATTTTTGTTTGTGTGCTTCCCAAATATGACCTGAAAAAAAAAAAACCACTGTAGGTGAAAAATATTAGAATAGAATGACAGGAAACACTTAAATTAGCTCAGTGTTTTTTGTTTTCTTATGTACATTCTTTCTTCAAAAAGAAACCATAAAAGGCTGTAAGGCACAGAACATGGAGTTTATAATCCATGGTTCCATTTGTATAGCAGAAAATTATGAGCCCTGGTTCTGTTTACTAGGGTTTTGACCTCTACACTCTTGAGCTCAACGGGAAGAAATTGAAGAATTCCCTTTCCAGAAGAGCTGCTATGCTCAAAAATGTCCATATGTGAAAAAGAACACCAGAGAAAAATTCCTAACATAGAGGTCATAAACAAGAACACGGGAAAAAATGGTTTATCTAGGAAGGAGTGGAAGCCTTCTGTGCTAGATTCCACTTTATACTACCTTATTTATTATTAAAGTTACAATGTATATTTTGTAGGCAAAGTTTATTGCACTAATTAACTCATTAACAACCTCTAGAGAAAAGCCAAACTCCTCTGCAGGCTGGTTTGCTAAATTTTAATGACCCAGATAAAGAGAAAATCAGTGTGCCAAGTTCTGGGAAAGCCTCAGGACTCCACAAACAGCTCTGATTTATTCAGTGTATCATATCATAGAGAAGTGAGAATTGTGGATTAAAATAAAGAAGAATGTCCTCAATTCATTTACAGCACAATAGGTTTGGCAAATTTAAACAAGCAATGTTTATGGTGTTTTAACTTAATGAAAATAAATCAATCTTAATTTACCTCTCCACTTCTGAATTAGAGCAGAAGCTGGTTTATTCTGGAACCACACTAGCCAAGTTGGCTGGTGGGGTTTTTTGGGGGAGGAAGGGAGAGGATAACAAGTGGAATAAGACAGACTTTTGGGGACAGCTTAGCCTCCAAGGCACTGATCAATTACTTGACATTATGAATGTGGTCCACGATGCTTTGAATCATATCCATTGTGGTACCTTGACCTCCAATATCTGGAGTCTGAATACTTTTGTCGTCCAGGGCTGCTAAGACTGCAGTTCGAATGCGAGTGGCATAGGAGTTGAGTTTGAGGTAATCCAGCATAATGCAACTTGAAAGCAGTATGGCAGTAGGGTTTGCCATATTCTCATTGGCCAACATGTCTAATTGCCTTGCAGCTGTCTCAAACATTGCATACATATGTCCATAGCTGGCTCCAGGTACAAGGCCTGCCCCACCAACCAATCCTGTGCAGATACTGCCGACAATGTTGCCATAAAGATTGGGCATCACCATGACATCAAATTGTTGGGGCTGGGATACTAACTGCATCGTGGCATTGTCCACAACCATGCTTTCTAAGGTGAGTTGAGGATAGCAGGATGCCACCTCCCTACAGCAGTGAAGGAAGAGACCATCTCCCAGTTTCATGATATTGGCCTTGTGCACAACCGTCACTTTTTTGCGTCCCATCTTCTGGGCCAGCTGAAAGGCGTATTCAGCAATGCGCAAAGACTTGTCTTTAGTTATGATTTTTAGGCTCTCTATTACCCCCTTCACACACTCATGCTCCAGATTGCTGTACTCGCCCTCTGTGTTTTCCCGAACAACTAAAATGTCTACCTCCTTGTGCCGGGTGTTCACACTTGGCAGACTTTTAAAATGGGTAACATTGGCATAGAGATCTAGGGTGGTGCGAAACAGGTTGTTGCAGGATTTGTGCGAGGGTGGCAAGGTGTGGTCCGTTCCAATGCTGCCCTTCAAAGCGACACAGTTTCGACGGACTGCCATGATGGCATTGTGAATTTCCTCTCCCCTTGAGGTGGAGGTGGAAGACACCCACACTTCCTCAAAGTCCACAGGCACACACGCATGTCTGAACACAGTCTTGACATGGTGCATGAGAGCAGGCCCATTGCCATCCCCAGGAATCATAGTCACCGTGTGCCGCCCACCATACTTGGCTGGTGGAGGAGCTGTGTGATGAAAAGAGAAACTTCTCAGGGGACTCTCGTGGCCAAGTAAAATCTCCCAAGAATGGCCAAGAATGGTAGGTTGGAAAATTGCCTTCACAGAGCAACTGGCTGCTGTCAGCATCTTCAGTGCCATAATCATTCAGCTGAGATTTCTTTAACTGGGTGTGAAAAGATGCGTTCTTTCTCTTCCTTTGAACCTGCTTCCTTTGTGGGGATTCTTCTGGATCTATAATTCTTGTATAGGTCACAATTCTCTCTCCTTCCTTGTATTCTATTTTGGACATTCTACTGTCACCAGAGAGATAGCTAGACAGATGATGTGATGTGTTATATGGTGAAAATACAAACATTTTGAAGTTGGATAATAATTCATTAGGCTAATTCAGTGTGCTGAACTCTGCATGATATGCTTTTAAAAATGTAAACTACTTTTAGACCAGTTTTTAGGGTCACAGCAACATTGATTGGAGGGTACAGACATTTTTCATACACCTCTGTCCCTAAATAAGCACAGATTCCTCCATTGTCAAAATCCCACAGAAGAATGGTACATTTATTACAACTGATGAACGAACATGGACACATCATTATCACCCAGAGTCCATAGTTTACATTAAGTTTCACTTCTCATGCTTACATTGCATGTGCTTGGATAAATGCTTGATGACATATATCCACCCTTAAAGTATCATAGCAGAGTAGTTTTACACCCTAAAAAATCCTCTGCAGGAACACTATTTATCTGTCACTTCCTTCTAACCTCTGGCAATCACTGATCTTTTTACTGTCTTCATAGTTTTGACTTTTCCAGCATGCTATATAATTGAAATAATACGGTATATGGCGTTTACAGATTGGGTTTTTTTCACTTAGTATTGGATATTTAAGTTTCCTTCTTGTTTTTTCGTGGCTTGATAGTTCATTTCTTTTTAGTGCTGAATAATACTCCAGTGTCCAGATATACCACAGTTTATCTCATTTACCTATTGAAAGACATTTGGATTACTTACAAATGTTGGCAGTTATCAATAAAGCTGCTAAAAAGCCATGACTGAAGATTTTGGTGTGGACATAAGTTTTCAGCTCATCTGGGTAAATACCAAGGAGCACAATTATTGTATTACACAGTATGCATAAGTTTTCTGTAAGAAACTGCCAAACTGTCTTTCAAAGTGGCTGTACTATTTTGTATTCCAACTAGTAATGAATAACAGTTCCTGTCACTCCACTTCCTTGCCAGGATTGGTATTGTTAGTGTATTTTTACTTTGACCATTCTAATATGTGCAGTGGTATCTCATTTTTATTTAAATTTGTAATTCCCTGATAACATACAATACTGAAGTTATTGTCATATGGTTATTGGCTATCTGTATATCTTCTTTTATGAGGTATCTGTTCAGTCCTTTGCCCATTTTTAAATTCGGTTGCTCTTTTTTATTGTTTATTTTAAAGAGTTTTTTGTATATTTTGGATAACAGTCCTTCTTCAGCAATGTCTATCACAAATATTTTATCCTAGTCTATGGCTTGTCTTTTCATTTTCTTGACAGTCTTTTGCAGGACAAAAGTTTTCAATTTTAATAAATTCCAGCTCATTAATTATTTGTTTCATGGACTGTGTCTTTGGTGTTTTGTCTAAAAGGTCATTGCCATACCCAAATTCATCTCGAATGTCTCCCAGTATTTTTCAGGATTTTTAGAGATTTTCATTTGACATTTAATTTTATGATCCCATTTGAGTTCATTTTTATTAAGTGTGTGAAGTCTGTGTCTATATTTTTTTTAGCATGGGGTGTCCAGTTCTAGAATCATTTGTTAAAATGACTATTTTTCTATATTATATTACCTTTTTTCCTTGTCAAAAGTCAGTTGACTATATTAATATGGACCTCTTTATGAGTTCTTTTTTCCCCTCTGTCCATCTATTAGTCTTTTCTTTCATCAATCCACATAGTTTATTTTCTTAACATATAACATTGGCTAAAACTTCCAGTACAATGTGAAGAAAAAAAAAGTGGTGAAGGAGGATATCTTTGCCTTCTTCCTAAGCTTGGGAGCAAAAGTTCACGTTTCTATTTATTAAGTGTGATACTGTTGTATGGTTTTTGTGAATGCACCTTATTAAGTTGAGGAAGTTCTTTTCTACTGCCATTTACTGAGTTTTTCTTTTTTTTTTAATCAAGAACAGGTACTGAATTTTTGTCAATCGTTTTTTCTGCATTTGTCATGTGATTTTTCTACTTTTGCCTATGTGCTGGATTACACTGACTGGCATTCAAATGTTGAACCAGCCTTGCCTACATAGAATAAATCCTACTTGGTTGTGATATATATATATTTAAAATATATATGACATTATTTATTATGTAATATATCATATATTATTTATCATTTTATATATAAATAAATATATATTTATATATTAAATACTATTTAATATTTGTTGGATTTTATTGTTGAAAATACTTGTATACATGCTCATAAACTATTGCTCTGTAATTTTATTATTGAAATTATGATTATTTTGTCTAATTTTGGTTTTAGAGTAATGCTGGATTCATAAAATGAGTTTGGAAGTACTCTCTCTGGTACTATTTTTCTGGAGAAGATTGTAGAGAATCCATATAATTTTTTTCCACAAACGTATATTTGGTATTTATCCTACTTGGTATTCTCTGTGCTTTCTGGATGTGTGGTTTGGTGTCTGACATTAATTTGAGAAAATCCTCAGTCATTATTTCTTCAAATATTCATTTATTTTTTTAATCTCTTTCTACTCCTGATATTTTCACTATTATGCAATTACTCCTTTTGTAGTTGTCCCATAGTTTTTGGACATTCTAGTTTGTCTTGTTTTTCATTCTCTTTTTCTCTTTGTTTTTCCATTTTGGAGTTTTTTAAAATTGGAGTCTTAGCTGGGCTCGGTGGCTCAGCCTGTAATCCTGCGCCTTTGGGAGGCTGAGGTGAGTGGATTGCCTGAGCCTGTGGGTTCGAGACCCGCCTGGGCACACGAGACCTCATCTCTACAATAAATAAAAAAAATTAGCCGGGCGTGGTAGTGCACGCCTGTAGTTCCGGCTGCTTGGAAGGCTGAGGCGGAAGGATCACCGGAGCCCAGCAGGTCGAGGCTGCGGTGGCCGGGAGTGGCCACTGCACTCCAGTCTGGGTGACAGAGTGAGACTCCAACTCAAAAAAAAAAAAATTGGAGTCTCACTCAGTCACCCAGATTGGAATGCAGTGGGACACTCACGGCCACCCCAGCATCGGCCTGCTGGGCTTGGGCGATCCTTCTGTCTCAGCCTTCCAAGTAGCCGGAACTACAGGTGCACACTACCACAACTGGCTATTTTTTTTTATTTATTGTGGAAATCAAGGTCTTGCCAAGTTGCCCAGGCTGTTCTCAAACCCATAGGCTCAGGCAATCCTCTTGCCTTGGCCCCGCAAAGTGCTGGGATTACAGGCTTGAACCATCACACCTTGCCTATTTTGGAAATTGTTATTAACATGTCTTCAAGCTCAGAGAGTCTTTCTTCAGCCATGTTCAGGTTACTAACACAAAGCATCAAAGGCATTAATTTCTGCCTTATATTACTCCTCTGTTCTTACAAGCTACCAGCTTTATCCATTAGCATGCTTATCATATTAACCATACCTGTTTTAAATTCCAGGTCTACTTCAAATATCCTTGTCATATCTGAGTCTTGTTTTGATACTGGCTCTGATTTTTTGTTAACTGTACTTTTTTCTTTTAGTATGCTTTGCCATTTTAAAAAAAAATTTTGATAACCAGTCATGACATGATATACTAGGTAAAAGGAACTGTGATAATGTGGTGGAAAGGTAGGGGTGGGTAAGCATTCTACATTATTTGGTCTCCATCTTTGATTAAGACTGTGCCTCTGGCCCAGCGCAGTGGTTCAGCCTGTAATCCCAGCACTTAGGGAGACCAAGGCGAAAGGATTGCCTGAGCCTGGGGGTTTGAGACCAGCCTGGTGGGCAACTTGGTGAGACCTCATCTCTACAATAAATAAAAAAATAAGACAGGCTTAGTAGCAAACGCCTGTAGTTCCAGCTACTTGGAAGGCTGAGGCAGAAGGATCGCCTAAGCCCAGAAGGTCGAGGCTGCAGTGACCATGAGCATGCAACTGCACTTCAGCCTGGGTGACAGAATGAGACTCCAACTCAAAAAAAAAAGAAAAAAAAAGACTGTGCCTCTGAATTATAAACATCACAAGTGCTGCTTAGTCCTCCCACACCTAGCTTTAATGGGACAAGATGGCGAGAGTGGGCTGGAGTGTGTATCTCTCTCCCCCCAAATTGTTTGGGCTCCAATAAAACCCCTATAGTTTAGACTGTGGCAAAATAGTTTCACTTGAAGGCAGATTTTGTTAAGAACAGAATCTGGTATATTTCCAGATAGTTCCTTTTCCCCTCCTTCTGTCAGAAGTTGGGTGCAATTTTTTTTTCCTCTTAAATCCTGGTAGAGACAAAGCTCACAAAAGTGTAGGAGCCTTCCTAAAGCTACCCCCCACTGGAGTCTTAAACTCTCAGAATTGTCTATTCTAAACCTAAAGCTATTCATCAATTACATGTCTAGTTTCCCTACCCTTATACTGGGATCCAGAGAAGTTTTAATTTGGGGTTTTTGCTCCCACAAGTTGTGATTCTTTATTCTGCCTGTCATTCCAATGTGGGGAGGCAGCAGTTTTCCCTGTGACTTAACATCACTAAATTCTATCATTAAAAGACACAGAATGGCTAAGTAGATTAAAAAACAAACAAATAAACAAAAAAACACTGACCGGGCTCTGTGACTCAACTGGTAATCCCAGCACTTTGGGAGGCCGAGGTACATGGATTGCCTGAGTCTGCGGGTTTGAGACCAGCCCAGGCAAATTGGTGAGACCTTGTCTCTACAATACATCAAAAATTAGCCAGTCATGGTAGCACACTCCTTAGTTCCGGCTATTTAGAAGGCTGAGGCAGAAGGATCAACAAAACCCAGCAGGTTGACGCTAGGGTGGCCTTAAACGTACCACTGCACTCCAGTCTGGGCAAAGGAGTGAGACTCCAACTCCAAAAAAAAAACAAAAACAAAAACAAACAAACAAACACCTAATTAGATGCTGCCTATGAGA